CTGAGTCTCAGAAATGGCTGTGGCCCTGCGGTGAGCACAGGCCCTTCTGCACCCCCCGCGCCAGGCCCCGCGGCGGAGGGGTTTCTGCCTCTGGCCTGTAGGATGCATTTCTGACTTTCCCAGCAGCTGGTGGTCACTGTCACGGCACCCGCTGCTGGTTTCATCCCGAGCCAGTCTGAGGACACAGGGCGAGAAGTGGCCTTGTGTCAGGAACAGTCCCTGGGGACCCTCCCTGTGCCACCTGCCAGGCCTGCCTCTGGGGAGGGGCAGCCAGCCTGTTTGCTCAGAGGGTGCATCGAGATGGCTCTGTCCCTGGTTTGGAATTCCAGTCCAAGGGCTAGAATATTTCTGGAAGCGTTGCTCAAGGATTGGAGGGCACAGGTGAAGGGCAGCGGGAGGTCAGGCCTCGCCGGCCTCTGTGTGTGGTTCCTTCTCAGTTTTGTTTCCAGTGTTTATTTGTTCTTGCCGGTGGCCATCCTTGAACTTGGAGTGCAGGTGTACTCTCTGCCACCCGGCTGGATCCCGAGGTCATGCTGAAACCTTGTCCCCAGGACACTGCCTCTCTCCACGCTGGGCCCAGTGTCTCAGAACTGGGGGCTGCAAACGGCTGTCCCTGGGGGTGACGCACACTGCTGTGGGCAGGTCTTCTTCTAGGAAGTCCTGGAGGCTGGACCCCGGCTGTGCCAGCTGGTGTGGGGCACGGGGCACAGGCCCCGGGGGGCGGGGGCATCATGCCTCCTGTCTCGGGAGGGTCCGGTGCCTGGATTCAGCACACATGGAGAGTGGGCAGGGGCAGGTGCCGCTGCCGGTCAGTGGGAGGAAAGCCGGGAGGGCGCAGACCTGTGGGGGGGCGGTCAGTTTTCAGTCTTGCTGCCTCCGGGGGGCTCCGGCTCCAGCACCATGAGCTGGTGAGGGTGGCCCTGTCTGCGTCTGGTGACCTCAGCCAGCAGGAAGGAGAAAGTGGGGCTCTCTCGCCCTGACCCCCCAAGTGCCCCGGGAGGTGGGGCCTGGCAGGGCCCCCCAGCGCCAGGAGGAGGTGGGGGAGGTCCTGCCGTGTGCTCTCTGAAGCCCTGGGAGCTGCAGCCTCGGGCACCGAGGGATGAGGCAGCGGCCAACAGGTGGCCAGCGTCCAGACACAGCTGGCCTGCCTGAGGGAGCCGCAGGGCTGCCGTCCCCGAGGGCCCTTCTCTTCGCAGTGCTGACACGGAGCCACGGCCCCGGTGCTAGCCTGGGCATGGTGTGGCTGGGACTCAGGGAGGGCCAGCACTGCTGCCCTTGGCCTCCTGCCTTGCCGAAAGGTGTCCAGAGGCGGGCAGGGAGGGACCTACAGGCAGGTCACACAGGGACGACCTGTTCCCAGGCCCCGCGGCCAGGAGAGAGGAACGCACTGCAGACGGGAGAGGGAGGCAGCGAGGGACAGGCAGGTGGCTGACCCGTGGCCCCGGTAGGTGAGCCAGCAGCCTGGGGGCTGAGCCGGGGACACTGGAAGGTGGCCTGGCTTCAGCGAGGGCACTGAGGGCCGTGGTCTGGTCGCAGGAAGCTGGACCCTGGGCAGAGCACATGGGGCAGATGGGGTGGGGGCACCATCCCCTTTTCTGGGCCCCGTCCCGTAGCTAAGGATAATGCTCCCCCGCACACAGGTCCTTGCCAGCTCCTTGTTTGTGAAGCTAAAAGGTGAAAACACCCCTGGGGAGGGACGGGCACTCCGGATTCTGCAGGGCCTGGGCGTGGGGCAGCAGGGCCAGAGTGGACTGTCCCAGGGCCACCTCCGGACACAGGCAGGCTCGGGGACACAAGTGTGTGCCACAGGTGGGCCACACACGTGGGCATGTGCACAGGCAGAGGGGGTGGGGAGCCCGGGCGCTCAGTGTGCCAGGGGAAGACGCGCCCACGCGTGGGTGTCGGGCGGTGTCGTTGGGAATCTGGCCGTGGGCGTCTTGACGGGGAGGACACCCTTCTGCTGGCTCCAGGAGGGGTGTGGAGGAGCCTGTCTGCTGCCCTGTGTGTGCGGTCCCCGGAGCATTCAGGACAGACTGCCGCAGAGCCCACGGCCGTCTAGGGCCCCGGGAGCCTCCCCAAGTCAGGACCAGCTTCCTCGCGCCTCACCCCACCCACCCAGCGCTGCCCCGCCTGGTGCCCGCCTGGCCTAGTCTGTGGGGGCAGGTCTCCTCAGCAGCCCAGGTCTGGACGCCGAGGCCGGCACATGGGGCTGCTGGTCCCTTAGCTTGAGGGCCTGTTGGCTCGCAGTGTTTCAGAGAGCCAGTGGGGGGCAGGCTGGCCTTCCGTGGGCAGCGATGCCCAGAGCCCGAAACTGGCCCGCTGGCCACCCTCTCTCAGGGCTTTCCAGTGCCAAGCCCTCTGCCCTGTAGGGAAGCAGGAGGGTGGCGTTTGGTGGGTCCTGGCCCCTGTGTGTCTGTCTGAGGAGGAAGCCCCTGGGTCACTTTAGGGACCTTCCAGCCCAGGTTAGCAACGAGGGAGGGGCTGGCCCTGGAGCCTGCGGGTCCCTTTGACTTGGCAAAGCTGTGTCATATGTCACTGTGCCTGCTGTGTCTGGGCCACTCTGCCCTCCCACCCACCCACTGTGGTTGGGCTGGGCTCTCCCCGTGGCCACAGGAGGCAGTGTGACCATTATAAATGACTTAAAGCACTGGGTGTGACAAGGGGGAGGGGAGGGTGGGGTTTGCACTCAGTAGATTTGCACATGGAAGTGGGCGTGGTGGCACATACCTGTGGTCCCGGTGACTGGCAGTGGGGGTTGAGGCAGGTGGATGGCAAGTTCAAGGCCAACCTGGGCAAAACGAGAGGGCTGGGGACACAGCTCAATGCCCATGTCACCAAGAAAAAGAGGGTATGGCTTCGCAGTTGGCCGGGCCACGGGAGCTTGTGTCACGCCTGCTGAGTGGCACTCAGTGTGTCAGGTGCCATGCAGATTGCTCCAGGCCCAGGTGGGGCCAAGTGCGGTGCGGCTCTGCCAGCTTGCTCTTCCCAGGAGACAGTGGTCGCAGAGGGTCTGGTTCCCAGGTGTGTCTTCCACCCTGGCCTCATTGCCAGATGCACCTGTGTCCCGGGATTTCTGCCCAGCGGCCCCTGGTAACACTTCAGACTCTGTCCACACTGAGCCCCTTTCCTGCTGGGGAGGAGACTGCCATGCCGTGGCCAGAGCTAAGGCCCTGGGGTGTGTCCCTGGGGTGCGTCTCGGCCCGCCCAGCCCAGTTGCCTCGAAGCTGAAGGCAGCCTAGTGGGTCCTCCCCCAACTGCCACCACCCAAGGCCAGGCCGTCTGCCCTCCCCTGTGCAAGACGGCCTCAGTGTCTGTTGGCCTCCCCTCCCCTCTGCCTCCTCGCTCCTTATGGTGGCTGGGGGTCTCCAGAGCAGACATGGGAGCAGATGCCCCCCCTGGAAGCCCCTGCACAGAACCCAGCTGCCTCCAGGAGCTGTGCCCTCCACCCGGCCTCCTGTCCCTGCTCACTGGCCACAGGTGGGCCACTGCCTTTGGTCCCGAGCGGCTCCTGGGAGTCCTGCCTGCACCCCAGTGCTCCCAGGCGTTACTTGCTTGATCATTCCTTGCTGCTCTTGCCTGGGGGGCACTTCTGCTGGGGTCTGGGCCCCTCGTGCTGCCTGCGGGAGGCCAGCGGATCCTTGCTGAAGGAACGAGCCGGGGCCGCTCCAGCACTCGTGGAGTCTTTTCTGTGTTCTGATGGCTGAAGGCTAAGCCTGCTGGACCTCTGTGGCCACCTGTTGGTTTTGGTAGGTCCTCCTGGTGGCCTTTGGCGGGCCTCGGCGGGCTCAGCCGGCACCAGCGGTCACCATTGGGGGTGCACACACACACGCAGTGTAGATCTCACTGTGGCTCTTGATGGTTTTCTCCTTTTACCTTTTTTTTTTTAAATCCATTTAGTGCTTTGTGGTGTACAGCTTGGGGGGAGACGGGGAGGCCACACACCCTCAGAAGTGGGGTAGCAGGAGCGGGCTGGGCCTGCCAGGGGACATGAGGGAAGAGGTGATGTTCTGGGTGTGCTGAGCAGGCAGGATGGCGGTCAGAGTCGACGGCAGGAGTGAGGGCGGCCAACCATGGGTTCCTTCCCTCTCACCCTGTCTTGGGGGTAGGGTGCTGGGGCTGGAGCCCAGGGCCTCATGCATGCTGGACAAGTGCTCTGCCACCGAGCCACATCCCCAGCCCTTTTATTTTGAGATGATCTCTAGCTAAATTGCCCAGGGTGGCCTTGATTTGGGGATCCTCCTGCCTCGGCCTCCAGAATTGGAGTCACTGGATTGCAGGCGTGCGTCGCTGCACCTGGCCCACCGAGGACTTCTGAGAGCCCTTCCTTAGGCCACCAGGGAAGCTGGTGGAGCAGTGTGGGTCTGGGACAGAGTGCTTCCTGATGGGAGGCGGAGGCGGAGGAGGAGGAGGGGGGAGCGGAGGAGGAGGAGGGGGGGGCGGAGGAGGAGGAGGCGGAGGAGGAGGAGGAGGAGGAGGAGGGGGAGGCCCGCTCCGTCCTGTGGCATGTGTTTTGGGGGATTCTGAGAGTGATCCCCACGGAGTCCTTGGGTGCTGTCCGGGAGCTGGGGCGGTTTCTCAGAACAGGACAAAGGCATTTGGCACTGGATTGTGTCCCTGCCTGAAGACCAGGGCGCAAGGCCGCTGTGGCCGCACTTGTGGGTGCTCAGTTTGTTCCGGCTGCCTCCGGGGCTGGAGGGTGCCTGTTCCTGCCATGGCTTCCTGTGTCTGCCGGCTGGGCTGGCGTGCTGGCGGGGGCGAGGTTCCCTGGGACAGTCAGGGCACATGGTCACTGGGACACCGCTGTCATCTTGGGTCTCTCAGTGAAGGCCACGACTGTACCGTGCTGGTCGCATGATGGTGTCACAGGTGGGGACAGCTGGATCTGTTCATGAAAAGCGTGAAGTCCGTTAGGCAGGGAGGAGGGACATCAGCACTGTCCCCTAACGTGGGGGCCCTCCCGGCCTCTGGTAACGTGCTCCACTGTGTTTCCCGTCCTCCAGGTAACCTCCAGACATGGCAGAGGCTCACCAAGCTGTGGCCTTCCAGTTCACCGTCACTCCCGACGGCATCGACCTCCGCCTGAGCCATGAAGCCCTTAAACAAATCTGTCTCTCGGGACTCCACTCCTGGAAGAAGAAGTTCATCCGATTCAAGGTTCCGACATTTAAGTTCTCTCGACACCTTCTGTCCGCAGCCAGAGGAGAATTAGTGTTTCAGACGGGTGGTCAGCACTGGATTCCTGTCCCTGGAGTCCCCGCACAGATATATGAGTGGACTGAATTCTGGGCCACATTCTGAGAGGCAGGGAGAGCCCAGCGGCTCACTGGAGGGCAGGTGGGGCAGCCGGCTCAGAGGGCAGTGGCTGGCCCAACACAGCAGCCCAAGCCAAGACTGGGACACACGTCCGTCCCCTGCTCTGAGGCGGAATCCTGTGTGTCTTGTTGGGGAAAGGTCTCTCCAAACTGCAGTGAGTTTAGTAGCTGGCCTTGCTGATGCGGGTCCTCGTGGGATCCCAGCCCAGTTCAGGCCACGTGTCCTCAGCCACGGTTATCCAAACAAGTAGGAACTTAGTCCTTTCAAAGTAGGGGTCTTGATTTCTTTATTTTTTGCTTTTTCTTTTTTGCGGTGTGTGGTTGGAACCCCGGGCCTTGAGCACGTCAGGCAAGCGCTCTGCCGCTGAGCCACACTCCCAGCCCAATGTTAGTTCACGTATTAAAGGTCCCAGCGGGAATCAACGTGTGTTCGAACACATTCAGGCTACAACATGGAGCCGGGAGGGAGCCCAGCCCTGCCCCCCCCTCCACCCACTGTCCAGGGTGCGGCTTCCTGGTGTCCTTCTAGGAGGGGGCTCTTGGGAGACCCCTGAGCTAGAGCCGGGGGCAGCCAGTGAGCCCCCGGAGCCAGCCCTGCTGCACGGGTGTCCCTGGGCTCCAGGTGGCCTGGCGGTGCTCCACCCAGCACCGCGGAGGTGGGGGGCCGCCTGTGGGAGCAGCCAAGTTTGGCCCACTGATCCTTTTACATACGTATTTTCAGTTGTAGATGGGCCCAATACCTTTATTTTACTTGTTATTTTTACGTGGTGCACTATTCTTGCTGAGAGCGGCAAGAGTGGTACAGGTTCAGCCAGGTGGGATACACCCTGCGGACGGGCCAGCTTCTGCACCAGGGGCCACCAGGGCTGCCAGGGCTGCACCAGGCGCAGGCCTCGGTGTGGATCTGGGGCTGGGCAGACCTGGTGAAGAGGAGGCGTTTTATTCTAGCACCTTCCTCCTCTGGGCAGTTGGAGGTCAATGCTGCTGACCTGTGGGGGTGCCTGTGCCTGCTGAGCAAGTTGAGACCGTGCTGGGAGTTGGACCTCCTTCTCTGGGTCGAACCCACGCCTTCCTAAGAGGCTTTGTGGTGGGGTGGTTCCTGAGGTGCTGGGATGGAATCCTGGGCCTCCTGCTTGTAGGCAAGTGCCACCGAGAGACCCTGCTGCCGGAGAACGTCTCTTAACTGCTCCCCGAGTGTTCCAGGAGCCCTCGCTCCACGCGGGGCCCCTGCTGCTCCTCCTGGTTTCTCGGGGTCGACATTTCGCCAGTTTTATTTCAGGGGATCCTTTTCCCCTCAACGCCCCCTTCTGCCCCGCGGAGTGTTTTCCAGCAGATTCCCCACGTGGAGCGAGGGCTCCTGGAACACTCGGGAGCAGTGCCGGGTGCTTTTGCAGCAGGGGCTCGGGCATCCTGGGCAGTAGCAGGTTGGGGTAGGACCTCACGGTGGCCCAGGGATGTCCCTCACCGGCCGTGAGCCAGACTGGGAGGAACCTGGCATCTGTATGGTGAGCTAGCGCCTGGGGCGATGGGTGTCCTGGGTCCCTCTTGGGGACTGTGACAGGGAAGGTTCTGGCTGGGAAGTTGAGGAAGACTGGACGCGGGGGGAGCAGCTGTGACTGACGGGCTAGCGCTAGGGCGCCCGGTTGCCCACGTCCTCCCGAGTGCCCGGCGCCCGGGGTGCAGTGGTGGTGGCCCTGGAGGGCGTGGCTCACGGCTGGCCTGTCTGTCTAGAACGGCATCATCACCGGCGTGTTCCCCGCAAGCCCCTCCAGTTGGCTCATTGTGGTGGTGGGCGTGATGTCCTCCACGTACCTCCAAGTGGACCCCTCCCTGGGGATGATCGCAAGAATCAACCGGACCCTGGACACCACGTGAGTAACCCTGCCCCATCTCCAGCCGTCCAGAAGGCTGCTTCCCTACTGTCCACGTTCCTTGTCCCTTCGGATGCAGTGACCGTCACTGCTCCGCGGGAGGGAAGCGTGAGCCGTTGCTTGCAGGTTGGCTTCTCCCACTTCCTGGGCTGGAGTGGAGGTTCCCCTGGGGTTTGGGCCCTTGTGGCCTTTCCCCTGCAGACCAGGGTGGGAAGAGTGGTGGGGACCGGTCCCTGCTGGAGGTGTCTGTCTGCCTGAGGCCCCTCAGTGGCCGCGCACATGGCCCACAGTGTCCTCACAGGGAGTTTCTGCCCAGGGCTGGTTCCAGCGTGGCCACGTCTGCAGGTGTGTGGTCAGCGCAGCCCAGGTTCGGGGTTCCTGCACTGACTGCCATGGGGCACTTGGGGCACCTCGGCCCTTAGCTCCCTCTGGAGTGGCTTAGCGCCCCCCGGGAAGCCCCCGCCAGGCCTAGACTTGGGAGTCAGATTTTTCTAGGCGCTTGGAAACAGGCTCTGCTCCACCAAGAAATAAGACCCAGGCTGGTGTGTGAGTCAGTAATTTTCTTGAAAAAGTCCCTCGGTCCCCAGGGTCTCCTGCGGCCACATTCCACACACATCTCTTCTTCCTTCTGTGGTGCTGGGGCCGGAACCCAGGGCCTCACATGTGGGTGCTGGGGCCGGAACCCAGGGCCTCACACATGCTGGGCAAGTGCTGACCCCTGAGCCGCAGCCCAGCCCTTGCACGCTTTTCTCAGCCACCTGTGGTGTCTGTTGTGTGCCCAGTTCCCAACAGGATCCTGACCCCACATGGGGTCTTCAGGTCAGACCCTGTGCTCCAGTGACCTCTCATTCGGGTCCCCTGCTACCGACAAGGAAATACTCAGAGCTGCAGGGTCCCCTCCGGGGTCAGGGAGAGAGGTGGTACGTGGGGTCCCTGGGATCCAGACCCAGCTCTGCCTAGTTCTGAATCTTCGGTGTCCCTCAGAGCCCTTCCCCTCCCACCAGAACCTTCCAAGAGACAAACCACAATACAACCAGCTGCCTCGGTGACGTCCACCTGCTCAGATGCAGAACACCTGGGCTCTGGCCCCTGGTGGCCTGCTGCCTGGCGCCCGGGCACCTGAACGCACGTCTCTGTTCTCTGGTTTGAAAGCCCTGCGGTGTCAGGAAGGGTCCCTGGCTGTCCCCCACCAGGAGTTCCATTCGGCTTCTGCTTGTTTTTATGGAGGAGCACTTAGGCCCGTGACCAGAGGAGTCATGACCCAGGTCCTCCTGGGGCCCGGGCCTCCTCTTTGGGCCAGCAGCACGTGTGGAAGTGCAGTGCCCGTGGCGGCTGGGAGGTGGGCCACGCTGAAGCGAAGCTCTGGGTCTCCTCCATGGTCTCCCTGCTCCTGGCCCTTGTCCCCTCAGAAAGGGGTAAGAAATAACCTGGCCAGTGTGGCCAGGGCTGGGGCTCAGCCCGCAGGGCCCCGGCTGCACCCCAGGTGGCCGCAGGTGGACAGTCTCAGCAAACCACTGACTGGGTCGTGCTGACAGTGTGCAGTACGCGATGAGGTGCGTCAGCCTGGCCCTGTGGGTGCTCCCAGGACACTGAGTGCTGCCCGGCTCTTGGGCTCTGCTTTTTGAGGGCTCCGTACGGGAGTCCGCTGCAGCCTGCTCCCTAAGCGGACACTTGGAGTGAGCAGGAGCTGGCTCATGCCTTCAACAGATAAACCTTCCCAGCCATTTGGGTGGACACACGCCTGGCCTGGGCCCCGGCCAGCTTCCTTGTCTGCCAGGGGCCTGGGAAGCCGTGGCAGGGACTGCTGCTGTCTTGTCATCTCAGGAGCACGTGGCAGATCTTGCCTGTGGCCACCTGCCTCCTGTCTTCCTCCAGCCAGGGGCCGTGGCCCTGGGACAGCTCACACAGCTCACGGCTCATGCCAGTCAACGAGCTGGCGGGAGCTTGGCCCGCCTCCCTCCATGCTGCCTGGGGTCAGACACTCAGTGTGCCCTCGCGTGGGCGGACTCTCCACCTGGGCTCGGTGTAGGATCCGCCAGCTCTTTACAGGCTTTCGTAATCTGGCTGTTATAAGATTTGTTTCTTGGCCCTATTTTGGCAAACTGGGTCATCCCTGGTCCAGATTTAGAAAGGCCAGGCTGAGGGTCAGCATCTTCCAGCCCCAGGTGCTGTCCTGGAACGTCCTGGGGAGCTCCAGTGACCAGGCTGCTGCTTTTTCTTTCTTGGCCGCGCTGGGGGCGAACCCAGGGCCTCATTCCTGCTAGGTGGGCGCCCTTCCCTGAGCTGCACACCCTGCCCCGGGCTGCCACTTCCCAAGTGCGGGCCTTTGAACCGTGTGGGTGTCATCTCTGTGGCTCCTCGTCCTCGGCAGCCTGACAGGGAGCGTGTTCCTCAAAGGAAAGCCCTTGCCACCCAGGTACCTCTGTGTATGTAGACAGAATTCTGAGCATATTACTGAGTGCAGCGGTGCACGCCTGTGATCCCAGTGACCCTGGAGGCTGAGGCAGGAGGACTGCAAGTTTGAGGCCAACCTCAGCAGCTTAGTGGGACTGCATCTCAAAAAGTAAAAAATGGCTGGGGATGTGGCTCAATGGTTAAGCACCCCCATGTTCAATCCCCAGTATTAAAAAAATATACTGAATATGTCATTTATTTATTTATGCTAAAATACTCTTTGTTTTTTGTGAATTGAACCTCTAATATAGTAACGTAGTACCTAGAAATCTAAGATATAAATAATCTTAAATATAGCTTCTTAAATCCCTAAATCTAGGTTTGCTTATACATCAGATTATCAGAAAAGATTGTGTCGTTTTCAAGTAAAGACTATAGTTGAACACTAGATTTGACAGTTTATAAAAAAATACAAATTTTTAAGCAGATTTGTATTTCACCTTGAAGATAATTTGTTTCTGGGTCATTGTTGAATACATTGTTAAACTGATGGCTTCAAACATTGGATATGTTCAGGTTGTGTAGATTGTTTGTCATTTGAAACACCTTTTTCCAATACCTTGCAGTTTCTAAGCAACTAACACTAAAAACCACAAAGTAGCTGTATTTCATCTATATTTTTTCTTGCAGTATCTGCGGTTTTGTTTTTAACTCTCCCGAGTCTCTCAGTCGCACTATTTGGCCATTTTGTGAGTGGCCAATCTCCTCGACTTCGGTCCCCGTGAGGGTGGGCACCATCTCGTGTTTCAGGCCCCACTTTTACCATGAAGCACAACCTTTTCTGAAACATTTTGGATTTTCTGCATAGTATTTGAACGATCATCGTATGTGATCCAGTCATTTTTTAGGCATGATAAATATTCTATCTAGACCAAAACAAGCTCTTTTGATACTAAATAGTTCAGGTAGAACTTGTTTTTTTCTAATTTTTTGTTTATATGTGACAGCGGAATGCATTACAATTCTCATTGCACACATAGAGCACAATTTTTCGTTTCTCTGGTTGTATACTGAGTACATGGACACCAATCCGTGTCTTCATACATGTACTTTGGATAATGATGCCCATCACATTCCACCATCATTGCTGACCCCCTGCCCCCTCGCTGCCCCCCCACCCCTCTGCCCTGTCTAGAGTCCGTCTGTCCTCCCCTGCTCCCCTCCCTCCCCCACTGTGAATCAGCCTCCTTGTGTCAGAGAACACATTCGGCACAGGTGGTTGGTGTGACAGATGATTTTGTGTGAGCAACATCCAAAGGTCCCTTGGAGTGGGAAAAAATGACCAGGAGCAGAAGAAAAAGGCTGGGAATCCCAGTGCGCACCTCGGCTCGCCCGCCCCACTGTGTGGTTTACCCCTGGGGGGCTCCTGCCCCCGGGGACTGCCCTGGGAGGCCCCCTGCACCCAGGTGGCCCAGATCAGCCTGGGTTTGTTTGCATCCCACCCAGGCTCATGTGCGGGTCATTGTCTTAAGGGACGGCGTCTCCCTGGGGTGCCCGGGCGGGTCTTGGACTCCTGGGCTCCCGGTAGCTGGGGTGCAGGGCCATGCGGGAGGTCCTGGCCTGGAGCTGGTTCATTTTGGGGGAGAGGGATGGACTTTGAGTCTTGGAGGGGATCCTGAGCTGTCTTCCCTGTTCTCCCGAGGAGCGGCTCTGGTCCAGGCGGGCGGCCTTCTCCCGTTTCTGTCCCTGGAAAGAGCAGCTTTGCCCCGTGGCTCACCCCGTCTCGCCGCCCCTCCCCCACCCCACACTTTGGCGTCCTGTGTGGTTTGTCCCCCCAGCAACTGCATGACCAGCCAGACGAAGAAAGTGGTCAGCGGCGTCCTCTTCAGTACGGGCCTCTGGGTGGCCCTCATCGTCACCATGCGCTACTCCCTGAAGGTGCTGCTCTCCTACCACGGCTGGATGTTCGCGGAGCACGGCAAGATGAGCCGAGCCACCAAGATCTGGATGGTGAGAGCACGTGGCCTCAGGGGACCTCACGGGCGCCCCCGGCACATGGCATGCCACGGCCTGACCCCTAGTTGCCCCTCCCTGCAGGCGGGGGCAGTCCTCTCACTGCTGACCCGAGCTCCGCCTGCTCCGTGGGGACTTGCTCAGGTTGGGTTCAGGCCCCCGCCCGGGTCACGCCATGCCGTCGGGCACTCGGGGTTTCCTTAGCTGGCCCCTGCTGCCCTGGCCGGGACCCCGCGGTCTCTACAGGTCACAGCTGGGCTCTGCCTGGGCCTCTGTGCAGCTGCAGCCCTTCCACTGCTGCATGAGCTCAGTTGTCTGAAGATCACCCGTCCCCAGTGGGACTCCTCTTAGGACTTCTCAGCCCTCCTCTTTGGGGTTCGGCCCCTGTAGGCCACCACAGGCCCCTGAGTGTCCCCGGGTGTGCCTGTCCTCTTGTTGCTGGGTCCGTGGGCACCAGGCTCTTCGAGCCCAACCTGGGTCTTTGGAGCTGGGCGCTTCGTACAGAAACAGAACTTGGTGGACCCTCGCTGTCTGCAGCGTCCTGAACGGTTTTCTTGAACCTGGTCACAGGGAGAGTCTCTCCAAGTCCCTGGTCCCCTGGAGCTGTCCTTGGTCTCCACGACGTGGAATCAGTGTGTGGGCGCTGCTCGCCCATCTGCCCCGCAGTCGGCACCCACCATGTGGCGGCCCCAGCCGTGGGCTGGGCCTGCTGCTCGGGCCTCCAGGGGGTCACCCCCCTGGGCTCCACTTTCCCCAGGACCTCGGCTTTGTTCTCTGGCTGCACATTCTCTGATTGCTAGGGAAGTGGACACCTAGACAGGAGGGGGACGGTGGCCCACGCAGAGTGGCCCGATGATGTCTCCTCGAGGGGCTGGTCAACGTCCCCTGCTGTGGCACCTGTGGCTGATTGACAGACATCCCCAGGTGGCACTTGGCCCCGTGGTGCCTCAGCACTGGGGCCGCCCTGCCCTAGGAGCACCTTTGTTCCTGTCGGCATGAGGTGACCTCCAGCAGGTCCAGGCCGTTCACCAGGCCCACGGGGAGGGCGCGTTGTTTTCCTCCAGCTGAGGGACAAGGGGACTGCATCGTCCCCCCGGGTTGGCTCCAGGGCCAGGCCAGGGCTGACCTCAGCCCCTGTTCCCGGAGCCTGAGCTGCCCCACACCCAGGGCTGCAGGGGAGAGTGGCGCAGTGTGTGTGGCAGCCCTCCGGTCCCGCTGGTGTGTCTGGGTTTCTGTGTGTGTTTGCCACGGCCAGCGAGGGAGGGGCAGAGGGTGGCCTGGATCAAAAGCACCCCCTGCAGGCCCTCGTGAACTGCTGGCCATGTCCACGTCGGGAAGTGGCCTTGGGTCTTCCCCGGAGCCACGTCTTTAAAATGTCACCTTTTCCTTCAGAGCATGGTCAAGATCTTCTCTGGCCGGAAGCCCATGCTGTACAGCTTCCAGACGTCCCTGCCTCGCCTGCCTGTCCCAGCTGTGGAGGACACCATCAGCAGGGTGGGTGTGGCCGGCGGTCCTGGGTTCCGGGTGCATCTGGTTCTGCGTCAGGTGGCGTTGCCTGCTCTGATTGGCTCGCAGCACTGTGCCCTGTGGGCGTTGGCATCGGTTCCGCTGTGAGGCTGTGTCTGGAGATGTTTCAGGAAGGTTCCACGTTTCATAGAGAAACTACGGGGGGGGGGGTCTTCAGCAGCTTCCCTGAGATACAATTTACTTACTTAAAAAAACGTTTTTAGCTGTAGATGGACACCATGCCTTTATTTATTTATTTATTTAGTGGGGTGCTGAGGATGGAACCCAGTGCCTCACACGTGCCAGGCGAGCGCTCTGCCCCTGCGCCCTGCCACGGCCCGAGACACAGCGTGCATCACGTACAGCTTCCCCACGCAGTTCCGAGGTTTTGGAGTCTCACTTAACTCTCTCAAACGTAGCCTGTGTGTGTTGCACGTGTGTGTGTGTGTGTGTGTGTGCGCGCGCGCGCATGCACGCACTTGTGAGACACGAGTCTCTGTCTTCTCCTCCTGGAGTGTGGCTTCGGTGACGTTGGCTGTGTTCACCTGTCTGTAGGCAAACTCTCCCAGACAACCCTAAACCGTTGAGCAATGGCTCCCGCTGCCCTCCCCCAGCCCTAGTGACCTCTGTCCCACTTTTTGCTTCTGCCTCTGCTATTCAGGACATTGCACATAAATGCCGTCTCACAGGGTGTGACTTCCTAGGCCTGGCTCAGCCCACTGAGATGTGACTTTCTGTGTCCTGGAGAGAGAGCCCAGGGCCCTGTACACACTAGGCAAGCGCTGCCCCTGAGCCGTCCCCAGCCCTGCCCAGCGACCTCAGGTCCATTCATGCATGGCCGGTGGGTGCATGTTCCTTCTTTGGCTCAGAGCGTTCCTAGGTGTGGTGGATGGCAGCTCACCTTCCGTGGACGGTCATCTGAGCGGTTGCCGCCACTCGGCTGTGGCGCATGATTGTGCCAAGTGTCCATGGACAGCCTTTTGTTTTCCGGTTGCTGCTGGCCTGAGGTTATGTCCAGGAGAGGAGGAGTGTCCTCTGCTGATGGAGGGTAGTTCTACATAGACGGCCCCACGGCTTAAACCCTCACCAGCATCTGTGAGGGCTCCGTTGTTTCTTAAGCTGGAAACTTCTGGAATCAGGGTTTGGAAATAGTCCCTATTTTCGGCAGGTCCCTTCCCATCTGTGCTCTCCTGAGTTCTCCCCTGTGTGGGGGCTGAGGCCGCCCCACCACGGTGCCCTCTGGTGGAGGGGCCCAGGGCTCTCAGGCCGAGCCCCCGCCCTGCGTGGCTCAGGCTCTGCCACACGGTTGCTGTCTCACTAAAGCACTTGGAGGAAGCCTCCAGACGGGAGCAGCCGGCCCTTTTCAGAGGCTGGGCCCTGCGTTTCAAGGCTGTTCTGGCCCCAGTGGGGTAGTCGGAAGTGAGCTGCTCACGGAGGTGCAGGGGGGAGTGCTCGAGTGCCCTGCTCCCCGTGCCCCTCCGTCCAGCGTCTGCTCTGTTAGAGCAGTGCCTGTCGGGTGTCTGTGCCCTGAGACCCTGACCCTGGAGCCTGGCCTGGGCCTGTCACGGTGGAGACAGCGCCGTCCTGTCACCTGCCTGGCCCTCCCCCATCTCACGGGCACCACCCCAGGTCATCATAGCGTAGGTGGAAACAGACCTTTGATGACAGGCCAACCCATGGACAAGGGACTCTCCTGAGATCTCTGTTCACCAAGCGGTGACCTTGATGCTGTAGAAGTGACCCTGGTGGACTGGCGGGGATACAGGATTTGGGGCACTTTTTAAGCTACTGAAGGATGAGAGGGTTTAAGTGTTTAGTTGTCATTAGCCCCAGGTCCTTCACCGCCGGAGCAGTTAACCTTGGGGGCTGGCTGGGATCAACCCGGGGAAGGTTTCCCAGTCCTTTGAACACAGTGTGACTTCTATAGGCACAGGCGGGGGCGCCAGGCCTAGATGCCCGAGTGTAACTGGCCGATGCTTCCTTCTCTAACCAGTATCTGGAATCCGTGAGGCCTCTCATGAAGGACGGGGACTTCCAGCGCATGACAGCACTTGCCCAAGATTTTGCTGTCAACCTTGGACCAAAATTACAGTGGTACTTGAAGTTGAAATCCTGGTGGGCCACAAATTATGTAAGTATCTACATAATGTTTCTTTTTCTTTTTTTCTTTTTTGGTACCAAGGATTGAACCCAGGGGTACTTAACCACTGAGCCATCTCTCCAGCCCTTATTTATATTTTATCTGGAGATAGGATCTCACTGAGTTGCTCAGGGCCTTGCTAAGTTGCTGAGGCTGTCCTTGAACCTTTCAGAGCCACTGGGATAATAGGCGTGTGCCACTGTACCCAGCTCCCAGCCCTTTTTATTTTAAGACAGGGTCTAATTTGCTTAGCGTCTCATTAAGTTGCTGAGGTTGGCCTCAACCTTGCGATCCTCCTGCCTCAGCCTCCTGAGTTGCTGGGTTTACAGGTGTGTGCCACTTAACATTAACTTGATGAAATTTTTCCATATGAAAATACAGATTTAGGGGCCAGGGATGACAGAGTTGAAGTCACAGTGTAGACTAGCCGGGCTCACCCCGGAGGACCTGTGTGCAGAGGTGGTGACGGTTTGGCCTGAGAGCGGGTGTGTGGAGGAGGGACATTTACACCTGTGGTCTGTGCTGCGGAGCTGTTCCTCCTACAGCATTGGGGCGCGCTGCCCGGCCACCTGCTCCTCCCCTCCGGTGTAGTTCCTTTGCCCCTGGAGCTTCTGGCAGCCCTCCGGTCGGGGCTGGGATGCGGCTGGGTCCCGCCCAGCTCTCGTCCATGGGCGTCTGCGCCAGGACCCGCTGAGCTTCCTCGTAGGCGGGGAGGCCAGGGGAGACGTTTGGGGATGGAGCAGGGGGCACAGTCCAGGCTTTGAGGACCACTCATGTGCAAGAGGAGGTGTCAGAAGTGACCCAGGTGGAGCAGGGGATGGTGCCAGTCGGGCGATGTGGCTGGGCGGGCCACTGTCAGGTGGGACAGTGTCTGTGGGTGCTGAGGAAGCGCTCCTTGGGTGACATCGGGTCGTTAATTTTGGAGAACAAGATAACGCACAGGCCTCTGGTCCAGGGCCCTGGATCAGAACCAGGGAGGGAACCCAGACTGCGCCACGCCCCAGCACTTTCCGTTCTGAGACCGGGTCTCGCTCAGTTGCTGGGGGCCTTGCTAAGCTGCCAGGCTGGCCTTGAATCCTCCTGCCTCCGCCTCCCAACCTGCCGGGCTGCGGGCGTGAGCTCTGCACTTGGCGAGACGCGGGCTCTCCTGGGGATACCCGGGGAGGGGGAAGCCATCTGCAGGGCACTTTGGGGTCTTATCTCCGGTGCTGGGCGGGGTGCAGCGTCTCTGCCTGGACAGTGCTGGCTACTCAGAGCAGGTCAGCAGGCCGCTGTCACTTGTGTTTTCACGTCTGAGAAATGGAGGTGACCCACCTCCTGGCTGGGCCTCAACTTGAGACAGTGCGGTTCCCACTGTCCTGCCGTCTCTTGGTTTAGGGGCTCCATGCTCTGGATGGCCCCGGGAGACACTGGAGTCTGCCAGCGAGCACTATGGGCGTCCAGAGCCGTGGCTCCCGCTCAGCCTCTGGCTGTCCCTGTTTTATTGCCAGGTGAGCGACTGGTGGGAGGAGTACATTTACCTGCGAGGACGGGGACCACTGATGGTGAACAGCAACTACTACGCCATGGTGAGTCGGCCAGCCGGCTGCCGTCCACGCGGTTGTGGGGTAGCACGCGTCCTGCACAGGTGACCTCGTCAGGGCTCTGCTGGGTGCTGCTGAGTGAGCTCAGGGGCTGCACCCCTGCTCCTGTTTCCCCCGCCCAAGGCTTCACGCCCTGGGGACGCCAGGCCTGCTTTCCACACCCAGGACCACGTGAGCGGCTGTTTGTGTGGGAGGTTGCTCAAGGTGCTGCAGAGAAGTCTGGATTGCAAATACAGGCTTCCCGCGAGCAGGACTTCCATGCCCTGTACCAGTGCCGCTGTTGTGTAACTCGGCTCGATGACATCTGCCTCACTGCCCTCTGGGCTCATGTCCCTGCCTGCACCTGGGCTCAGCCCGTGGCTTGGCTGAGAGCTTGCACCAGGTGCTGACCTGGGCCCTCTTCTGAGCGAAGGCAGCTGCTGAGGAGCCGGGGCGTGCTTTCCTGCCGCAGCCTTTGCCTGTGGACGTGCGGATGACTGTGCGGGGCCCCTTGGTTTGGCTCCAGGCCTCTGTTCAGTGACCGACTGCAAGTTCCTCCTCCTTCCCTTTCTATTCTTCGCTTCCTCTATTTCCTCCCTCTCTTCCTTATCGCTGTCTCTATCATTTGCTTTTTCTTTTCATTTGTTTCTTTGGAAAAGTTTCCTTTCTCTCCTTTTCCTGACTGAGGAGAAGTGGTGCCGGCGGAGCCTCGTGCTGTCTCCCCACTCGTCTCCCCACGGGGGCTTCCTGCAGGGCCAGGCCGCGCTCCCGCTGGTCCTCCGCCCTTCCTTCGGTGGAGAAGCGAGTCCGGCCCGCAGGCGAGCTGGCCACGCCCTAGACATGATCCTTCCAACCTCAGGTTCCTTCTGTTCCGGGAAACTTCCGATGGTCTGGCTGCTCCTGGCTGAGTCAACTTGGCTCTGCTTTTCTTCCTGTGCATTCCACGAGGACATAGGAACAAAATAATGCGCCCAGGGGCGCTCAGGGCCTTGTGTGCTTTCAGAGCATGAGCAAAACAGAACCGGCTGGAGCCGGCGGTGCCACCGTGAGGCACAGGTGGAGCAGAAGCGGTTGAGCCCTTGGAGGCCGAGGTGGAGCTGTCTGTGTCCACCTCCCGTGACCCTCTCTTTGCCGTCGCCCCCCCCCCTCAGGAGATGGTGTACATCACCCCGACTCACATCCAGGCCGCGAGAGCGGGCAACGCCATCCACGCCATCCTGCTGTACCGCCGCAAGGTGGACCGGGAGGAGATCAAGCCGGTGAGTGGACAGACTGCCTCGGGAAGGTCCCCTGGCAGGGCTGGGGCTGGGTTCAGGCAGGGTGCCTCCCTGGCGTGTGTGAGGCACTGGGTTTGGCCCTCAGCACCACTAAAAAGGAAGGAATGAACGAGTAAGTGGTGTTACGTCCATCCACGACTAAAAAGGAAGAAAGGCGCCTTGGCCGAGCACCGTAGCACTCATCTGTGAAACCACAGCTCAGGAGGCCCAGGCAGGATGACCACAAGGTCCCGGTCAGCCTGGGCAACTTGGTGAGACCCTGTCTCAAATGTCACAAAGGGCCAGGGCTGGGCACTGTAGTGTGCCACTGTGAGCCCAGCGGCTTGGGAGACTGACATAGGAGGATGACGAGTTCAAGGCCAGCCTCAGCAGCTCAGTGAGGCCCTAAGCAACTTGGCAAGACTCTGTCTCCAAACAAAATATGGAAGACAATCTGGGGCCGCGGCTCGGCGGCAAAGCACCTCTGGCTCCATCCCAGTATAGACAATAGCAGTGAACACACGAAACAAGGGTCCGGCATGTTAGGATGTCTTAGGGGCAGGGTCTGGTGAGCTCCTTGCACCCCTGCACCATCACCACGGTCGGGAAGAGTCTGCACGTCACCGGGAGATCCCTCCGCTCCTTCCCGACCTTCCCTCCCGGCGACCTGACCTGCTCTCTGTCCTTCCGATTCGGTATCATCACCAGGGCTCTGTGCAGAGGGAGCGGAGGTCTGCGCTCCTTTTATCTGGTTTTTCCACCCTCATGGGGTCAATATCTGAGGGCTTCTCTCTTGGGCGCCCTGAGTGGCTCCATCTCCCGTCCCTGAGTGCTGCGTTTTGCCTGTTGGCTTCTGAGGGGACTGACACTGCGCGAGCTACTCGGAGAAGCCGTGTTCTCCCTGGACGTCCTTTGGCTCCAGTGTCAGAGTGGACGGACGGGTTTGGATGTGTTATTGTGAAGTGGCCGCGGGAGGTTGTGCCCCGGCCCGTGCAGGATGCCCCCGGCGACCCCCGCCCCGGGGACAATGGGAAGACGCTGGGTGAACCCAGGGCTGGGCCTAGAACACGGCCCTGGTCACCTGTGTGGTCTCGGCAGGCTCCTTTAAAACCTCCTGTGGCATTTTTGCTTGTTTGTTTGAAAAACGCTTTTGTTGCAGATCCGCCTCCTGGGCTCCACGGTCCCCCTGTGCTCCGCGCAGTGGGAGCGCTTGTTCAACACTGCCCGGATCCCCGGGGAGGAGACAGGTGAGTGGGCCTGCCAGCGCCCTTTGGGAACCAAAGTCGCCACCCCTGGCTTGGATTAGGAGAGGGCCAGGAGGAGGGCCGGGGCCCCACTGAGTGGCAGGGCCTTTCCGAGAGTCGGGCCTCCCCGTCTGTGAGGCGGGCAGTGGGCTGCTCCCAGGTTCTGGTCTCTGGCGAGGGCCGTCTCCTCAAGCGCCATTTCTGGGTCTTCCTCGGGCTTCCTCGGGCTTCCTCGGGCCCCGCTGCGGGTGTGTGCGGGGCTTGTTGCTGTGTGGATTGTGCTGCCCGGGAGCTGCACCGCGGGATGGGCGTCCACCACCAACTGCTGGGTAGCGCGGAATCTACTGTCCCCAACGGGACACCTTGATGGTGACAGGGAGGGTCAGCCGGCTGGCAGCGCTCACACTGTGCTGTGTGGGAGACCCCATTCCCCGGCCGTGCGGGTGGGGAGGTGCAGGTGGGGGGACATGGGTACCTGAGGAGCAGGCCTGTGAGACCCCAGCAGGCTGTCGTCCTGCCTGAGCCTCACAGCAGCCCGTGCGTGTGCGAGCTCTGAATGCCCGGCCGCCCAGGGCTGGTGTGCCCTGGTGCCACGGGGCCTCAGTTTCCCTGTACAAAGCTGAGCCACTCAAGCACTCCCCGGGGCGGTGTGCAATCTCCAGGAGGAGGGGACGTGCATGGCTTTTGTGCCAAGGGACAGAGCTGGTGGGTTTGGGTATCAGCGGGGGTCTGGGACGGCCCTCTCCATACCCAGGCACGACCGTTGCAGCTTACCTTAGGCCCCTTCATTCTGGGTTTTTTCCCCTTCGGTAACTTTTTAGGTGTAGAATGGAATTTTCACCAAAATTTAGAAAGAAGACAAAGCACTGTTGTCACCGTGCCAGAGTCACTGTTGACTTTTTGGGGGGTTTTGGTGCTGGGGAGCTAACCCAGGGCCTCCCCCGTGCCGGGTGGGTGCTCTGCCCCGAGCTGCCTCCCAGCCCCTCATCGTTGACAGTTGGGGAACTTTGTCAGGACCCAGGACATGGCAGGTTCCTGGCGCTCTCTCCTGCCTGCAGACTGCTGCGAGGTCTGGGCCTTCCTCGGGGAGTGGCTTGCCCAGCCCCCAGGGAGGGTCCCTGGGAATGGACCTGCTGGGCGGCGCCGGGCCTCTCCAGTCTCATTGGCGTTGACAGGTTGCCCTCCGAGTGGTTTAGCCCACGTCCGCGCAGGCTCAGATCCTCTGGTCCTCTCCTGCCGACACCAGGCTCCCAGGGAGAGCCGCTGGCCCTGCTGACTGTTCGCCTCCTCCACCGAGCTTTGTGCGCGTGGCGGGGGCACTAGGGATCGAACCCAGGGGCATCTACCACTGAGCTACCCCATCCTCCAGAGCCTTTTATTTATTGTGAGGCGGGGTCTTGCTAAGAGGTTGGCCTTGATCCTCCTTCCTCACCTCCAAGTCTCGGGGATCACAGGCATGCACCACCCTACCCGGCCCTTGGTCATTTTTATTCCTGTGTCTCATGCACTTTAAAAAGAAAAAAAAAAAGAATGGCAGGAGCCGGGGTTGTGGCTCAGGGGTAGCGAGGCCCTGGGTTCGATCCTCAGCACCACATAAGAATAAATAAATAAATAAAATGAAGATATGGTGCCCAACTACACCTAAAAAATGGATATTAAAAAAGGACGGGTGGCATGTCTCACTCTTCGTGCCGAGTGGGGGTCTTGGCATAACGTGCAGCCACTTGGGGCAGCGATGCACCGTCCCTGTCCCCAGTCACCTCTTCTTCCTAGAGCACTAGGTCTCTGTCTTTAATCGTGAGTACGTTAGTATTAAAACTTGGGTGACACTGGTTCACGGGTCCCTGCTCTGGGACTCCTGTCTCTGGGGCCCTTTCCTCCTTCTCCACAGGCATCTGTCTTTGCTCTGTTTATCTGTGGCTCTCCAGGTGCCTGGATTCGGCTCCCACGTGTGGTGTGAGCTGTGGCTCCGACCCTGCTCTCCTCGTGGCTGGCCGCGTCAGGCCTCACGTGGGGAGGGCAGTGCCCACGGTGGTGCTGCCTCGGGCCTGTGTGCAGCTGACTCTGGGCCCCGTTCAGTCTTTCCTCCTTCCTTCCCTAGCGGTCTTGTCCAGACGTCAGCCTGCCGCTCCCCGCGGCTGTCTTGTTGGAATGGCCTTGGAAGGTGGAACGGGGTGGTGGAGAGTCGCCCCTGCCCCGTCTGCCCACCTGCCACGGTCCTGGTTTCCTCCTCTGTTTGTCTGGGTCTTTTTTTAAAAATGGTTTCGTAAATTCTTATGCTTTCTCCTGTGGGGTTTGCGTGTCTTTGGCTGGAGTTGCTCCTGGGTTCCTTGTTCTTCTTTGGGGGGCACAGGATTGAACCAGGGGTACTTAACCACTGAGCCACATCCCCAGGCTCCTTTTTTTTTTAGTAGGTATGAGAGACAGGGTCTCCCTGAGTTGCTTAGGGCCCTGCTAAGTTGCTGAGGCTGGCTCGGAACTCACCATCCTCCTGCCTCAGCCTCCCGAGCTGCTGGGATTCCAGGCTGCCCCATTGTGCCCGGCAAGGTTCCTCGTTCTGTTCCTCTTGAGTATATTTTTGAACTGTTGCTCCTGCCTGCTGTGTTCTGGGGCTGCCATTACAGATACCACAGAGGTGGCGGCTGAAACTACTCAGATCTCCTCAGCCGGCTGGAGCCAGGATCCTGTGCCGCAGGCCGGTTCCTCCCAAGGCCTCTCCAGGGCTGGCAGATGGCGGCCTCTCCCTGTGCCCTCACGGTCCCTGTGTGTCTGTGTCCCATCTCCTCATCTTACAGGGACCCATTCCCATTGGCTTGGGGTCACTGTGGTAGCCTCGTTGTTCCTTCATCACCTCTTGAAAGCAGCTGTCTCCCGGGCCGTTCAGTCTGGGGCAGCCCAGGGGGTGAGTGTGGGGTCCTGGACGGACCTCCTGCCTGGCAGGAGCCTTGCTCCTTTGGACAGCGGCAGGCGGTTGGCTTGGGCTTCCTCGTGGCCGACCGTAGCTGCAGACGGCAGGGTGTCCGTCCCCTCCCAGACCTTTCCTTCTCTTGGTGTTTCGCTGCCCTGTGGGTCTCGGGTGGACCTGGACAGCTGCGGCGCTGCGTGTCCTGTCTCTGCTGCGAGGTATCTGCTCCCTGTAGCTGGTGGAGACCCTTCGGCCAGTTCAGGGGGCTTCTCTGTCCCTGGTGCCAGAAACCCCTTCAGAACGTGCCCGTGGGGTGGGTGCTGGGGCTGTGTCCAGGCTCTGGAGTCCCTTCTTGGGGGGCCTGGCCGTGTCTCAGGCGAGGTTGGCCACCTCTCCTGGCACTTGCCCTGTTGTTGGTGGTGGGTTCACCCTGTCCTCCCCACCAGTCCCTGTGGCCCCTCAGCTGTGACCATGCGTCCCCCTGAGCGGGCCCTGAGTGGGCTTAAGGCCCAGCCACACAAGGACGAAGTCCACGGCTTTGGGGACGCGTCACTGCGTTCCTGGATGAGGAAGCTGAGCCTGGGGAGGCCGGGCAGTTTGCCTAGAGCCACACCCCAGCGGGGTGCCAGGCTCTGGGTGTCCCTGCACAAGGCTTGCAGAAGCCACCACCTGGGCTCCGTCACCTGGGAGGAGCCGTGTGACCAGGCACCGCTGGCGGGGTCGGGTGGCGCAGCTGCTGCCCTGACCCGTATTCCGGTCCCCCCCGCGCCCCCCAGACACCATCCAGCACGTCAAGGACAGCAGGCACATCGTGGTGTACCACCGCGGCCGCTACTTCAAGGTGTGGCTCTACCACAGCGGGAGGCTGCTGACGCCCCGGGAGCTGGAGCAGCAGATGCAGAGGGTCCTGGACGACCCGTCAGAGCCGCAGCCCGGGGAGGCCAAGCTGGCCGCGCTCACCGCGGCCGACAGGTGTGTGGCCCTCGCGCTGCCCCGTGCTCTTCCTCACCCGGGTCTGCTCCGTGGGTGCGGTGGTGGCACCTTAGTGGGACCGAGCCGCAGTGGCTCTGCCTTGCTCCATGGTGGCAGGCTCCACTCCTAGCTGGTGGCTACGGGCAGCTGGACTCTGTAGGGTCTTCTGCTTCCAGAACTTACTTAGGATGCTTCCCGGGGAGGGTGGGTGGGGCCGGCAGCCTGGGCGTGTGTGTGTCCCTGCTGGACGCGAGGCTTGGGTCAGCCTGCACCGGGCCTGTTCCGTGGACATTCAGTGCGTCAGCATCACGTGCCAGGCTCGTGCCCTGCCCTAGAGGCCACCCAGGGGGACAGTGAGCTGTCGGGTTTCTGTTGTCACGACTAAAAGGCTCAGGGGTCACTCCAGTTGAACTGGGCTGACCGGGCTGCACAAAATAACCAACAAGAGACACAAATACCTTTTTCTTTGGGGTCGCTGTGACGGCTCCTCTGACCTTAAGGGTCTGCAGGAAGAGGGAGCGAGAGCAGGCGCTGACCCCTTTTATTGAGGAGAAGCTATTCAAATGAGGCAAGGGGTCAGGTTTCAGGGGCTGAGTATCTTCAAAATGTCCACTGTCAGCAGGTGGACTGACACCTGGGTAGGCCACACCCAAGGGCACAGTAAGAGGAGGGGACACACACAAGGCACTTCCATGGAAGATTCTGTCCTAAACAGGGCAAGGGGTTATGAAGGAACAGGTGGGCATAGCTTCACCCACGGGGCTGTAGCAAGACACACCCGTGCACCAGACATCGACCCTCGAACCCAAGAAGGGTGGGGAAAGCTCTGCACATTTCTGTGACTGAGCGCCTCAGCACCCAGCCGGGGAGTGTGACTCAGTCACGTGCAAGGTTGGTGTCCCACAGTGAGCCCCTTCCAGCACACGGGGCAGCGCTGCGGGGGCAGCCAGGAAGGTCCTGGACAGGCGTCTGATGCAAGGGCCGTCACCAAGCTGCTGCAGGCACGGCCGTCCCCAACCCTATTTAATTGTCACCGCAGAGTGCCCTGGGCCAAGTGTCGCCAGGACTATTTTGGACGTGGGAAAAACAAGCAGTCTCTGGACGCTGTGGAGAAAGCCGCGTTCTTCGTGACCTTGGATGATACGGAGCAGGGGTACAGGCAGGAGGACCCGGAGGCGTCCCTGGACAGCTACGCCAAGTCCCTCCTGCACGGCAAGTGCTTCGACAGGTACCGTCCTTTCCTCCCAGATCGGCGCTCCCTGTGTCTGGGCACCCCCTCCCCGGGGTCCACTTTGGAGCAGTGTGGCTCGGTCTCCTGCCCTGCACCTCAAGGAGCTCACAGCCCGAGCCTGGCAGGTCCAGACCCCCTCACCAGGCCCCAGGCCTTCCTGGGGGTGCTGGTGAGGGATAGTGGTTGCCCATTCCCTGGCCAGGAGCAGAAGGGGTGGACAGCACAGGGTGGGGGCGGACCTGGGAGTCAGCTTCAGCCTGACCTGTGGGTTGCAGGACCTTTGCAGGCTGCTGCCCTCTGAGTCCTCCACTCCTTCTCTGTGAAGTGAGGGCCACCACTGGCTGAGGGGACCCCCGTCCCCCCGCTGGCCTGCTCTCGTCTCCAGGACACATGTGCTCACGTATCCTCAGCCTGGTGCGGGGAGCCACGGGTGCCTTGGTCCTGCTGGTGCCTTATCCTTGCTCCCCTGGAGCTGTCTGAGGGGTGGGGACAGAGCCGCTGGCTGTCCAGAGGGAAGCAGCTTGCAGGTCCGGGTCACCGCTGTCAGGTGGACATGCAGTCCATGGTCACGTGTGGTCCCACAGGTGGTTTGACAAGTCCATCACGTTTATCGTCTTCAAGAATGGCAAGATGGGCATCAACGCGGAGCACTCCTGGGCGGATGCACCCATCGTGGGCCACCTGTGGGAGGTGAGTGCTGGCAGCTGTCACACAGACAGGCGCAGGTGACCAGGCCGCCTGGGAGAACCCCGGGCCATGAGCTTGGTCCCTGGGTCTGCTCCTGCAGCAGGAGCCCGGAGTCAGTAGATGCCTCTCCCTGTGGGGACAAGCAGTGGCCCTGGGCCACCGGGCAGCAACCCGGTCCGGACTGCAGCTAGGCTTGCTCTGGAATGGTGACCTCTCCTAGTTTTAGGCAAAACAGAAGCCAGCGTACTAAATTTTGGTTTATAAAAAGGTGGTTTTGCCCAGCACAGTGGCGCACACCTGTATCTCAGGCACTCAGGAGGCTGAGGCAGGAGGATCTCAAGTTCAAAGTCAGCCTCAGCAAAATAAAAATAAATGGGGCTGGGGATGTGGCTCAGTGGTTAAGTGCCCCTGGGCCCCCCACCCCCACCCCACAAAGGCAGCTTGCATATTATTGAAAAGTATCATTTTCATTCTTAAAATCACCAAACCCCTGTCATCCTTTCCCTGAGCCCAGCATTTAAACACAGTGTGGGCCGGGGTGCAGCTCAGTGCAGCTCAGCGCCTGTGCTCAGCTGCTCAAGGCCCTGGGCTCCATCCCTAGCCCTGAAAAAGAAAATTGTAAATACACAGGGCTTAAAAACTGGTTGCTCTCCGACTGTTCGAGCTGCTCCGTGTTTGGCATGAAGTATCCAGACGGGGTGGGGGTGTTGCCTTAACTCACCGCCAGGCTCTGGCTCAGAGAAGCGCTGCACTCCGGGCCCCGCCGCGGTAGCTTTGCACCGAGGGGACAGTGCTCACCTGTTGTCATGAGTTGGGGTGACGTCCACAGCAGGCAGCCCCTTGGAGGTCCACGTGGACAGAGAGGCCGTCTTTCTGCATCCCGTATCCCCTGCTCCTGTTGTGAACCACGTGGAGTTAAGGGACCGTGCAGGCCCAGCCGTGGGGGGTCTCAGCTGGCGGCCCGGAGGCCAGCTCCTGGTCTACCCGCACGTGTGTGAACCGCAGACCGCGTGGCAGACTTGCCAGGGCACCCGCACGCGGGTGAGCGTCCTTTACCCAGAGTGCTTGAGAGCGCAAGCGTTTCAGGGTCAGTTTTCTGGGATTTGGAATGTTTGCGTAGACCTTTCGGGTGGAGCGTCCCTGACCTGAAAGGAGGAGATCCGAGATGCTCTGGAATCCGGGACTTGCTGACCGCCCACAGGATGCCAGTCTCCCGCCCTAGAGGCTGGTGGGTCGGCTTCTCAGGGAGGCTGCACCGGTGCCCGCCCTTCTGCCCTCCCGTCTGTGAAGAGGCTTCGGGCCCCAGTGCTTTTTCCACTTGGTGCCTGTCAGTTTCCTCGTGTGGAGCTCACAGCCCTGGAACCGTGCTTGGTCCCACCCTCCTGAGGGCAGGGGTCTTCCCTCGGGCCTCAGCCCACCCCTCCCCCGGAGGACCTCACCGTTGGCTAATCTGGACCACCTGTCCTGCTTCCCTTCGCCTCTCAGCTGACCTCTGGGTGGGTGCAGGACCCCGGCAGCCGCCCCACGGGTGGTTTTCAGCATGGGAGAAGCAAGGCGTTCCAGCTTCTCCGCAGCGTGTGACCCCAGGACCCTGGCCCCTGAGGAAAAGCAGTCGGGGCTCTTCCCACCAGGCCCCTGCAGAGGCCCACTGAAGCCCAGGGCCTGTCAGCTGCAAATGCAGCAGGCGCCCCTGGCCACGGCAGCGGAGGCCCACCCCAAGTCCATGCACAGCGCTCACGGTGCGGCCTGCTGGGTCCTGCTCCGGGGGCCCTCAGAGGACCCTGAGCGCAGGAGCTGCTGTTGAGCAGGGAAGCTGCACCCCAGGCAGTCTGGCTCATCGGGCACGGTCATCAAGGAGGGATCCTGCAGGAGGTTTGTGAGGTCAGGGTGATTTTTCTAGGCATTCTGAATACGGTCAGGATGAAGGGGTCCAGTCTCGGACAGGCCGATTAGACGTGGTGTTCAGCTGTTACTGTCCGGCTGACAGAAGGGCCAGGGGCCGGGGCTCTCAGTGTGAAGGCCTGCTGCTGCATTCAGGTGAGGCTGACCCAAGCCCGCAGTGGCCATCAGCAGCAGTTCTGGTGGAGGTAGCTCCTGTCTGCTCCTGGTGCATTTCTTGTGGTGAGGTGTGTGGGAGGTGTGGGGAGCTCAGGTGCAGCCCGGCTTGGGCTAAGCAGCCTGCCTCTGGGCTTCTCAGGGCTGCAGGAGCCCCAGCCTGCGTACAGGTGGCTCCCTCCCTTCCCTTCCCAGCACCTCACCTGGCGGACCACCTACTCTAGAAGGCAAGTTCCCTGAGCACAGAATTCTCTTCAGAATAATTCACTATTATTGTTAGATTCCAGGCTTGGACCCAGGGTGCTTAACCAGAGAGCCACACCCCAACCCCTTTTTTGTTGGGATCTCACTTTAGGACCTCTGTAAGTTGCTGAGGCTGGCCTTGAACTTGTGATCCTCCTGCCTCAGCCTCCAGGCTTCTGGGATTACAGGCGCATCCACTGTACCTGGCACTTTTTGTTATTTATTTTATATTTTATGGTCACAGTACCTTTATTTATTTTTATGTGGCGCTGAGGATCAGAACTCAGTGCCTCACACATGCTGGGCAAGTGCCCCATCACTGAGCCCCAGCCCCAGCCCTCTTTGGGTTACTTTTAAATTTATATATAACACATAACCATAAACCCACCCTTTTTAAGTTTACAGGTCAGTGGTTTCTGGAATATTCACCAAGTATTGAATTCTAGACATTGTTACCCTCCCCCAAAGCCTCCGCACCCCTCTCCCCAGCCCCCAGTAACCCTGATTGCCCTGTTGGGGGATGTGCCCATTCTGGACATTCAGTGTCCAGCCTTCCCTTAGTGTGATGTTGTCCAGGTCACCCAGGTCACGGCATGTACTGGGGAGCTGTTCCTCTTGGTGGCTGCGTAGAACTCCGCGGTGCCGCCGGGGCGCCTCTGTGCCCCGTGGGAGGGCGTGTGTCTGTGCACGGGGGCTCTTGCGGGCAGTGCTGCTGGGAGCACCCTCATCTCTGAGCCTGGGCCCGGGAGTGCAGCTGTGGGTCATGTGCTGCGCCGCGGTCCTCGGGGACGGGTGGACGTTGCTGCCATGCCGGCCGTGTGGTGCCCAGTGTGCCCTGAGGAGCTGCCGCCTGGAGTTGTCCTGACACTCTGCCTGGGTCTGGTGGCGGCTCAGAGGAGCTGGACACAGAGAACGCACTCACTTCCCAGGCCCAGTTTCCTGCTGTGCGCACGTGGGTGTGGCGGTCACCACAGCAGGTGGACAAAAGTGGTTGAGGGGAGGACGATGACTGCAGAGGCCCTACATGGAGCCTGGACTAGCAAGAGGCTCTGTGGCTTGGGGTTTGCTCTGCTGTGACCTGTGTGACCTTGACCAGCTGTGGACCCCCAGCCCCTTCCTGGCCTCCAGACGAGGGAGGGGCCGCACCTCTCTGAGCCCTGGGCATGCACTGACTCAAAAGTGCGCGGCGAGTGCCCATCTCAATGCTTGCTCTCAGAGGGAAGGGGTGTGTTCCCCTCGGAAGCCATGCAGTTGGTGGGACCTGCAGCCAGTGACCCCCGAGGTGGTCAAGGCACGTGGGTCTCCCTGCTTCCTGGTGTCGGCTCCTGAACCTCGCATCTCAGGTGACAGTATGTGCTCGTGAGTTGGCGGAGGCTGGAGCCCTCAGGAGGCTTCAGGTGGCCGGCCACAGCAGAGACAGGGCAGGACCAGGGGCTGGGCTTCTGGGAGGTGAGGGACTGGAGGCCAAGTTGGTCACCAGCAAAATCCCAGAAGGACAGGGCTCGGGAGCTCCTGGGCAGAGGCCACGAAGAGACGCTAGGGGGAGCGCCTAGGGAGGGCACAGAGCCCGCACCTGTCCTGGGCCCTGCCCTGCGCCATGTTCCTGACGGCCCAAGTCACAGGCTTGAGAGTGAGCCGACCGCAGGGGTGGGTGTCGCCTGAGGCTGGGACCTGCGCTGCAGACCAGTGAGACCCAGGACCATGGGGACCCCGTTCATAGCCAGTCAGAGGCACGGGCACAACCTGGAGCTTGCAGCTGGCACCCAAGGGGATGGATCCTCAGCAGTGGTGCCGGGACTGGACCGAGTGAGGACACCCGGCTGGTGGTCACTGCAGAAGGCACTGTGTGGCCCAGGGTCGGGGCCCGGGAGCTGAGTGCTGAGCGGGATGGGGAGGGGCTGAGGCTGGGTCTCCACCCTCCAACGCCTGCTTCCTCCTCACAGTACGTCATGGCCACCGACTGCTTCCAGCTGGGGTACACGGAGGACGGTCACTGCAAAGGGGACCCCAACCCCAGCATCCCCTGCCCCACCAGGCTGCAGTGGGACATCCCGGAAGCGGTAAGTCAGGGTATCGCTGCCGCGGCCTGGCTGGGAGGTGGGCGACGCAGGCCCTGGGTGCTCCTGACTCCGGGGAGCTGAGCAGGGCCCGGGGCTGCCCCGGGAGGTGTCTCTTCATTTGAAGCTTTCCGGAGAAATTCCAGCTCCGACTTCACTGGGTGTCTGTAAGCTGTCGGCAACAAAGAAGGAAAACCCAACCAAACCCAGAGTTGACCTATCCTAAATGGGAAAGAGTTTTAGGGTGGAAAGCGCCGTCCGGACTCTCTCCTGGTCCAGGCAGGAACCAGGGCCCAGAAGCACTTGGCCACCGTGGCGGCGTGAGGTCGTGCACAGGTGTGGCCTCTGGCAGCCCCTGGGCCGGGAGCTGATCAGGCCACTTTTCATTCATTGCAAAAAACATTTTTAAATAGTCTTTGTTTTTTAATAATTACTTTTAAGTTATAGGTGACACAATGTCTTTTTTTTTTTACTTTATGAGGTGCTAAGGATCAAACCCAGTGCCTCATGCATGCTAGACACGTGCTCTACCTCTGAGCCTCAGCCCCAGCCCTATCTTTATATTTTTAGAGCTGTTTTAGGGTCACAGCAAAATCAAGAGGAAGAGACGGGTTCCCGCGCCTCCTCCCACAGCCCCGCGCCTCCCTCCACCAGCACCTGGCAGAGCCAGGCGCCCTGCAGTCTTTGACCCGCGTGGACACATGTCCATCCCTGGAGCCCGCCATTCACCCTGAGGGTCCCCCCGTGACCCCAGGGTCCCTTGGTGTCACATCAGGGTCACTCAGTGACACACTGGGTCCCTCTCGCTGTCACACCAGGGTGACTCTTGCTATTGCGCCTGCCCTGTACCCACTATCTGAGCCCCACCTGGTTAGGGTGACTGCCTGGCCATCCCCTGGCCCCCGGGGATGCTGGGCCATCCCTCTCCCAGCCCCAGCAGCTCCAGTCCTTTCCGGGGGCCTTGTGGTTGGGTCGTGCTGCTGGCAGCCCTTCCACCTGGTGGCTTTTGCTGTGGCACAGCCCTTGAGCCTCCTGCTCCTGTTCCCCTGTGTGACAGTGATGTTCCCTTGCACGGCCGTTCACTTATGTCCTGGGTGGCTCCATTGCCACCACACGCCAACATTGGGCTGTGTAACACAAAGCCTGGACCGAGGTGCCCGATGGGGTCTCGCTGGGCTCCCGGAGCCCAGGCCTACCTGTGTGCCCAGACCCCACCCGGCTGGAGTCCCCACTGCTCCTGGGTTGCTGCCCTGTAGGGGCTTCTGGGTCATTTATCCAGAGAAGCTGCTGGAAAATGGTCCCAACCCCTGGCCTGGCGGAGGCTCCTGGGACCTGGTGTGCGCCTCTGCGTCCCGCTGAGGCAGTGGATTCTCCCCTCCCTGCAGTGTCAGGAGGTGATCGAGACGTCCCTGAACAGCGCGAATCTTCTGGCAAATGATGTGGACATCTACTCCTTCCCGTTCGACGCCTTTGGTAAAGGGATGATCAAGAAATGCCGGACGAGCCCCGACGCCTTCATCCAGCTGGCCCTGCAGCTGGCGCACTACAAGGTAGGCCAGGCCGCGCTGTGCCCGGCACCCGGGCTCCTTCACCAAGGCGGGAAGCTGCCGCCGGCACCAGAGGTACAGCCTCCTGGGCTGGTGTGACCACGGCGCCCGGAGCATGTCCACTGGGCACTGGGGGTGAGTTCAGCAGACCCCCTTGGCAGACGCGGGTCCTGTGTGGAACGGGCGCTAGGGAGAGGAGCAGAGGGGAGCCTGTCACTCCACGAGGACAGAGCTGACAGGCCCTGGAAGCACTGGGTGCACTCCTGCCCCTCTGCCTCTGACAGCCCCTTCCCTAGCAGGGACCCAGCGGCCACTGGAGCGCTGTGGCCGGGCCCCGCGTGCACATTCTGGCTTCGCGTGGCAGGTGCAGCCTGTGCCGGGACAGAGTGGACTCGCTGCCTTTGGAGGGAGGGTGGCCTCCAGAATGGGCCCTTGAGGTCGCTGTGGAGCAGTGGAAGTCACTGTGGCTTCGGCTCAGGTGTGCCCTGCTGTAACTGAACCCTTTATGGTAAAATGTGAGTGTGTCACGTTGACAGTGTGTGGTGTCCCTATGGGGACAGCTGACTTTTGAGTTGGCTCTGTGCCCTCCACTGGCCTAAGAGCATCATAGGCCCCTGGAGTTTCCCACTGGTCGCCCCTTCGCACAGGTGAGAAAACGAGGTGCAGAGAGGTCGGGGACATGTCACTGTGACACTGTGTGGCAGGGGAGAGCCAGCAGTGGCTCGCATATCCAGGCCTAGAAGCTCGACTTCTGCAGCTAAAGTGAAGGAGATGACTGCGTGCCGGAGAGTAGACGAGGCATCCCCAGAGGTGACCAGCTGTGACAGGGCCACAGCTGACGTAGCCGATGCTCACCTCTCTGGTTAAAGCCGATCGCGCTCCTGAAGCGTAGGCTGGGCGCGGCTTAGCAGCAAAGCAGTGGGCACAGGGCCCTGGCTGCAGCCTCATGCTGCTCAGGATAAAGCAGCCACGGAGCTTGATTTTCCAAATGACATCTCGGGTGCAGAGGACACTTCACAAGCATACAGGGCCTCTCGACGATTGAGGACCTGAGAAGTGATTGCTTCCCCAGGAAACACAAACTGACAGAGCTAAGCCAGATGAGATCAGATGCCCAGACCCACTGTGTCCCTGGTGAGGGGGAGAGGTCACCGAGAGCCACTCGTGGGCCCAGAGACCTGGGGAGGGTGGAAGCTGCCCAGGTAGTGAAAGCCATGTGCCAGCCCTGGGGACCCTGGGGCCAGAGGCTGGCCACCAGCCCGAGCTGGCAGGGCCTCCGTGGCCAGGCTGCGGCGGGAGCCAGGAAGCCTGTCCAGAACCCGCCTTCCTGCAGCGGGGGCGGCTGCTGGCAGTTCTAGGGGTGAAGGCAGAGACCCCACGTCAGCTGTAAGCCGATGGCTTCGCCCGCACGAGGACAGCAGGGCCGGCAGCAGTGGCAGGGTGGCTGGACGAGGGGACAGACGATGCCGAGTCACATTACCAGGTCACAGAAAGAGCCGGAGCAGTCATCTCGGCAGATGCTAAGAGGACATTGCAAACTCGCCGTCCCCTCCTGACGAGCACTCATTCGGGGGCCTGGTGGGGCTCTTTCCTTGGTGTGGCAGATGCCCTCGTGGGGTAGTGTCCAGCTGTCGCCTCAAGGAGAAGATGTGGAGCCCCTGTCAAGGCTGGGAGAGCAGGATGCCGCTGGCAGGACGATCGGGGGGAGGGTCATCTGTGACTCCAGAAGATAGGAACCTTTCACGTTTAAGCGGCGCACTCGGTAAACAGGCCCAGTGCAGAATCAGACCAGGGTCAGCGTCACGAATACCGACGGCCAGGCGGGAAGCAGAGTGGAAGCCAGAGACGAAGACCCAGGGCCCCAGGCTCGGTTTGTGAAGCAGACAGGGCTGTGCCAGGGTCCTGGGCAGGCTAGGCCCGGCGGTGCCCTCCTGGAGTTCCAGGGACTTAGGAGATGTGAGGCAGGAGGATGGCAAGATTGAGGCCATCTTGGGCAATTCAGTTAGACTCCGTCTCAGAAAAAAAACAGCTGGAGGTGTCAGGTGGGGCGGAGCTCCCCTAGGTTCGATTTCCAGACCAAAAAATAAGGAATGAAGAGAAGCCCCACCCTCCAGCCAGATAGGCGAGGCCAGTCCCTGGAGGCCACCAAGCGAAGCGTGAAACCAGTTCTGTCAGTCCAGAGCAGGCACCCGTCTCACTCAGACCTTTCCAGCTTAGAGGTCCCTCTAAAACGAGGACAGTGCTGCGTGTCACCCTCGTCCAGGGCCACGGGCCTTCCCAGGTTGCACGTGGAGCACTGTCACCAGCCGGGGGCCCAGCCGGCCCAGCTGTCACTGACTGACATTCATGAGGTGGCGGATGCTTGCTGGTCCATGGTCATCTCCCCTGCTGCAGTGTTCTCTCCTGGGGCAGGCTGTAGTCAGTCCAGCTGGCCAGAGTACCCCCAGGGCCAGGATGTGCCTCCACAGAGGAGGTGGCTGCGGTCCTGGCACCTGAGCAGGACCCCAGCAGGTCGCCATTCCAGCCCAGAGCTGCAGGCGCTCCTGGGCCCGAGCCGTGCAGCCAGGTGAAGCCTCCTGCTGTGGGGCCCGCTGGCCTGTCCTCAGGCCCCGTGAGTCAGTGTCCGCAGACGTCCACCTGCGAGCCACTCCTTAGGAACTGCTGGTGTGGTCCTGGTGCCCGCAGCCCTCCCCGGGCGCTGGCCGCCGCGGGCTCAGTGGGCACTCTGATGGGTCAGAAGCCGGGCCCCCTGCCCACCGGTGCGCCTGCCGAGAGTGTTTTTAGATGACCATTTTAAGTTTTATTTGTTTTTGTTGTTTTGATTTGGGGGGTTTTATCTGGGGACAGAGTCTCACTAAGTTGCCCAACCTGGCCTCAAACTTGCGATCCTCCTGCCTCCGCCTCCTGAGAAACTGGGGTTACAGGTGTGCGTATCCTCCTCCAGCTTAGACGACCCTGTTCAGGTGCAACGTGGGGCCCTCCAACTAGTCTCACATTTAAAGTCTGCGCTGGGGGCTTCTGTACCTCACGCATCTCGGTTCACCCTGTTGGACGATTCAGGCCAGTTCCTGCCCCGCCCCCCTCTGTTCCAAGCCCTTGCAGCGGCCTGAGGTCAGGAGCCTGGTAAAACCTGGGACCTCCTGCTTCCCAGGGCACAGCATGGGACCCCCACAGCCAGGGGATCTGACGACCCACGTGTGTGTGTGTGTGTGTGTGTGTGTGTGTGTGTGTG